GGAACACAGACGCATCGCCAACCTTCCCCGTCCACAGCAAGGCTGGGGACATCGCAGGCCGAGAGACCCGGGGGTGAAGGTTGAGCTGATGCGCCGCGTACCTCACCGCAAACGGCCACAGAAAATGGGGGGCAGCCGCATGCATCATGGACGTACGAGCGACATCCATGACCATGCCAATGCGGCGCTCAGCAATCCCATTTTGCTGTGGTGAGTCCGAAAGCGTGAAGGTCTGGCGGATCCCCCGTGCACGACAGTAGTCTCGCAGAAGGCGAGAAGAGAACTCTCCGCCTCGGTCAGAGTGCAGACGCAGAACAGGAAAGTCCGAGCCGAAGCTCTTCCTGAGCTGGAGACGAGCCTCGCGGATCCAGTCGATCAGCACCTCAGTGACCGCACCCTTGCTGCGCAAGGGGAGGACTGTGGTGTAACGCGAGTAGTCGTCAACCACCAACAGGAAGTAGCGCTCGTAACCCTGCCCACGGACGGGGGCTGGGCCCCACACATCCATGTGAAGCGTCTGCAGGGGAGCCTCTGTCGGGGGGAAGTGGGAGGAGTGAGGAGTAGCCCGGAGGCGACCCTCGACACAGGGGACACAGGAAGGTCCTGGCCCGGAGGGGAGAGGAGGGAGAGACTGGGGAAGACCAGAGACAAGGACACGGGAAGCCATGCTCCGAAGACGGGGCAAGGAGGGGTGGCCAAGACGGTGGTGCCACAGGAGAGTCTCGTGAGACAGGAGGCGACAAGAACAGGGGGCAGACTCAGGACCTGACCGGGACGCAGCAGCAAGTACCTGACCCGACGCAGCCACCTGACCAGACGCAGGGACAGGAGGAGACTCAACGGTCAGGGTGTAGAGACTCGACCCCGGCCGACGCGAGAACGTGGCCAGGTGTCGGCCTGTGCGTGCCTCCGTGCAGTGGGTCACCCGCTGACTCGCAGGAGTGAACTGGTGAACACCCACATCCTGCAGGTCTGCTCCACTCACCAAGTTCGTAGAGAACGAGGGAAGGTACAGACCCGACAGGGTGCCCGAAGGGGCAGCCGGACACGGGAGGACAGTGGAGAAGTGAGACAGGACAGGACCCCCAGAGGGGTCAGCAAGGGAGACCGCAACCGGCCGGCCAAGCGGCGTAAGGGTAGTGCGGTCTCGAAAGAAGGAGCGAGAAGCTCCGGAGTCAAGTGTGAAAGTGAGGGAGGACGAGGACGACTCAGTACCTGAGAGCGCAGTCTCACCAGTACCTGAGAGCGCAGACGCACTGGCACCTAGAGCAGCAGCCTCACAAGCACCTAGCGCAGCAGTACCAATGCCCGGGTCGGGCTGGAAACAGCGGTAACCCTCATTCTCCTCACTATAATCCACAACATACATAGCAGTAAGGATAGCATCAAAATCAAGATCAAAGATCGCTACACCAGCCCTGAGAAGCTCATCCCAGCGAGGGATCTCACTAGCCCCAGGGAACTGCTGACGCCAGGCGTCCGTCAGGCGGCCAAAGCAGCGCTGGGTCGCGTGGGCGCCCCCACACTGCTCACCCGCGCGGTCGCCGGAACGAAGAACGTAGGTGCAGGGACCAGTACCCCCACCCCTCTGACGCCCAGCGTACCACTCACGAAGCTGCTGAGGCGAAGGGATGTCCCGAGAGCGCTGCTGCTGCTGCCGCTGCGAGCGCTGGCCACCACCACCGCCGCTACGCTGCTGGGTACCACCCCGACCAGATCCACCCCCTCCACCACCACTGCCTCCTCCGCTGCCGCCTCCACCGCCTCCACCTCCGCCGCCTCCACCTCCGCCGCTGCCTCCACCACCACCGCTGGCACCACCACCACCGTCTCCGCCGCTGCTGCCACCACCACCACCACCCCCGCCACTAGTCCCGCCGCCACCCCCACTCCCTCCGCCGCCACCGCCGCCACCGCCACCGCCCCCTCCAGCTCCACCCGCGCCCTTGCCCCCCTTGCCCTTGCTGGAGCGACGTCTCCCACTAGGGGCAGACGCCGCGCCGACCGACTCTAGACCAAGCAGGTCGGCAGCAGCAGCAGAGGCAACAGAGGGCAGCAAGGGGGAAGGAGAGCACCCCTCAAAGATGGGGGTGCGAGGGTCACCACGAGAAGCACCTACAGCGACGATGCTCTTCTCCGCTGCGAGGAGGGCCTTCTCGAGGAGGTCGACGGAGAGGGTGGTGGGACAGACTGCGAGAAAGTGGTCCCTGACGACTCGAAGGGAGTCAGGGAGGCGCGCGACTACGTAGTAGAGAGCGATGTACATGGGGGGGGGGTTCTTAGCGCAGAACTCAGCAGGAAGGGCGGCGCGGTAGCGAGTGTCACTAGTGCGGAGGTGCGTAATGAGGTTAGCGACAGTGGGAAAGGCAGAGAGGTCAGGAAAGAGGTAGGGAAGCATGAGACGGCTCAGTGCAGCAGTGGCAGGGGAGGAGTAGCGGGCAACTACAGCGTCGTACAAGGTCTGAGCACTCTTGTACTGACTGAAGTGCGCACGCTCAGAGGTAGGGAGGTGGCGACGCACAGCAAGACGTGCAGCAGCATCGCGGGTGGCCCACTTAGAGCGGACAGCGGGATCAGCATCAGCAGCAGGAGCAGGAGAGGCGCCAGAGGTGAGATCAAAGAGAGAAAGGTCGTCAGCCCTGTCGCACTGTAAGAACAGCTGCAGGTCGTCTAACCAGACCTCAAAATCAATGGCGCGACCCTCAGCGTCAAAAGCTAGGACACTAGGGGTAGCCATGGCGACGACAGCGACGCAGTGCAAGCAGCAGGGAAAGAGCTCGCAGTGTCAGTGGGACTGTGCTCACCAGGCAGGGCAGGTCGTATAGGTATGCAGAAAGGCGGCTCGGGTGCTGGGCGGCTCGGCTGCTGGGCGGCTCGGGCGCAGGGCGGCTCGGCTCCCGGGCTGCTCGGCGGCTGGGCGGTTCGGGTGCAGGGCGGCTCGGCTCCCGGGCGGCTCGGCGGCAGGGCGGCTCGGGTCCCGGGCGGCTCGGCGTCGGGCGGCTCGGCTCACGGGCGGTTCGGCTGCTGAGGCGGCTCGGCCAGGAGATGCAGGGGCGGGGCCGTCAGGTGCAGCGGCGGGTTGACCGGTGCAGTGGCGGGCCGGCAGGTGCAGTGGCGGGCCGGCAGGTGCAGCGGCGGGCCGACAGGTGCAGGCGGCGGGCCGTAGGGTGCAGTGGCGGGCCGTAGGGTGCAGTGGCGGGCCGGCAGGTGCAGCAGCGAGGCCGGCAGGTGCAGCGGCGAGGCCGGCAGGTGCAGTGGCGGGCCGGCAGGTGCAGCGGCGGGCCGTAGGGTGCAGTGGCGGGCCGGCAGGTGCAGCGGCAGGCCGGCAGGTGCAGTGGCGGGCCGGCAGGAGAGGCGGCAGGGCCGCGTCAGGGGAGGCGGCAGGGCCGCGTCAGGGGAGGCGGGGGAGCCGCGTCAGGGGAGGCGGCGGTGCCGCGTCAGGGGAGGCGGGGGAGCCGCGTCAGGGGAGGCGGCAGGGCCGCGTCAGGGGAGGCGGCGGGGCCGCGTCAGACAGGCGGCGGGGCCGCGTCAGGAGAGGCGGCGGAGCCGCGTCAGGGGAGGCGGCGAGGCCGCGTCAGGGGAGGCGGCGGAGCCGCGTCAGGGTAGGCGGCGAGGCCGCGTCAAACAGGCGGCGGGGCCGCGATCAGGAGAGGTGGCGGGGCCGCGTCTGAGGGACAGCGGGGCCGCGAGGGAAAAGGCGACCCGAGGGGGTCGCTAAAAAAAAGGCGCGCCTCGGGGCGCGCTTCGGTGGGCCCTAAAAAAACGGTCCTAAGGTAGGACCCGCTCTATACCATGTGAAGTAAAGAAAACAGGAATGAATGACTAAGGAAAGATTGGGTACAAATACAACCCTAGAAAACCTGTACCCCATATGTGCTACCCCACTATAGCCTACAGCAACTATGTCATATAAATCTGACACTAAGGTGCGTGAGCCCCTTCGAGTGAAAAATCAAAAGTTGATTTTCTGGGGTGCGGAGATGCGCGGTCCGAAAGGAAAGAGGCTCTGAATACCAAGTGTTACGGGTGCAATGAATCGAGGTAACGAAGATTGCATTAAGGTGTCAAACGAGTACAAAATATGAGCGAAGGCATGAGCGAACATTTATACGCGAAACATGCAAACGGTATCGCGGTGCGTACGAGCTAGCTAGTGCTACGCTGGCAGCGAGGCTCGGGCTAGTCCTGAAGCGTAGGCCGACACGGCCGGGCCAGCAGTGCGAGGTTTGGTGAAACAGTGCGCGCGAAGTCGGCGAAGCCCCGTTAGCAGTAACGGGCGAACAACGGCTGTTGCTGTACGCGATGTTGCAGGGCGCACTAAAGAATGTCGAGAAAATTCCTTACACTGACACAAAGACGGTGAGATACACATGAGAAATTGAGTATGCTGAAGAGGATCAAAATGGACGGAAATAATCTGAACTGGACAAATGGTTTCGCAGCAATCTGGTCGGCGTGGAGGGCTAGGAATGTCAGGCCCTAGGAATCCTATATGGAGGAAGAGGTTCTTGTCAGAATGCTTGCTCTTAGGTGTATACTTTCAATGATCATATAAAAAAGTTTCTCTGTATCTGACAATGCGATGGGACTAATGGGTGGGGTCATTGTTGTCACCTAGGGCTCGAGCTCTGTGCTCGAGGGCGGGTTCCCAGATCGTTGTGTGCAGGGGTTGGGGGTATTCGCGCTACATCTGTGGCGACAAGATCGCTAAGCATTATTTACTATCAATACGCATGTGTTAACGACTTCAGGTTACCTTGCAAGGTGGGATGCAACCGTTGCACTGTAGCTTCCATGATGGAGGAAGAGAACGAGTCCTAATGCACCCTTCAATGCGCCTACAGAGCTTGCCCGGAAAGCAGGGGTGCAAGTGGGAGGTCGAAGCTTCCCGACCACTCGTCAAATATTGAATCTTCCCGAGCCGCGAGTTCTGTACAGCGTTCGTTTTCCCGTGCTCAGGTGCCATTGGGAAAGGGGTGCTCAAGTGCTAGTGTCTGCAAATGATGGGCAGAGTAAATGTCTGCGATTGGGGTAGGGTTGATCGTGGGCAGAAGCAAATGTCTGCGATTCGACTGTGCATCATGTACACATGATGCATCGTTCTTCCCCGTTAGGGTTTCGCACAGGCTATGCGCTAACAGAACATAGCTTCGAGTCGAGAAAGAACAGCGCCATTCACTTCGCTGTGTGCGGTGCGCATGGCCCACTGTCCCAGCGCTGCAGCGCTGTAGTCTCAATTCTACATATGACGCATAAGCGACACCACTAGTTCCTCGCCTATGCTCTCCTCATTCTGAATTCTTTTTAACTTTCGCTGTTCACGCTTGATCCTGAATCCAAGCCACAGACGTGTAATGCGCCAGCCGTGGCGCCTCTCGTCACGGGGCCCGCCGTGGGGCGTGGGGAGGGCGCTGCTGGGGGCGGTGTGGGTGGTGGGATGGGCGGGGCTGTGCGCGTGGGTGGTGTGGTTCGCGCACACGCAGGCCGTCAATCCGCGGGAGGAGGCGATGCGCGGGTGGTGCCACTTGCGCGTGCTCTACCTCTATCAGCGCCTGCTCTCGTTCGTCTCGCGCGTGCAGGTGCGACGCGTAGCGATAGCGACGCATAGCGACCCATAGCGACGGATAGCGACGCATAGCGACACGTAGCGATGGATAACTTCGCGTAGCGACCCATATGAACGGATAGCGACGCATTTTAGCGGCTCACGGCGATTAGCGTCGCGCAACGACACCCTACAGAACCACGGCCTACAGAGCGACGCGTGACGGAGAGGCGTCGCACAGATCGACGCATCACGGAGCGCACTGCGCGCAATCTGTTTTTTAAGAATTCTCAAATGACAAATTCAGCCTAACATCACGGAGCGCACTGCGCACAGATCGACAGCAAGAGACAGGCGAGCTCAGTCTCGTGGCAGGTAAGCCTTGATTTTCAGAAATTATACGAACGTGAGGTCCCCTGGCGAGCTCGGGAGGTCCCGTATAGAAATTATACGTTCGTGTAGCGAGCTTGACCTCTTGGCAGGTAGGCGTTGACTTTCATTTATTGGAGACGGGCTGAATCTGCTATTTGAGAATTCTCAAAAGACAGGCGAGCTCGGCCTAGTGGCAGGTAGACCTTGATTTTCAGAAATAATCGGCGCGCTTGACACGGGGGACACGGGGACACGGATAATTTCCGCGCGCACACTGCCAACGACATTCTGTCTAGCGTCCTAGAGCTCTTTCCGTCGCGCAGCGGCGACGCGACTTTCGAGTCGACCTAAAATTTCCGCCTCGAAGCTCTCTCGTCGCGCAGCGGCGCGCTCCCACCGCCCCGCGCGGCGCTGATGGCGGCCCCCACCCCGGGGTGCGGAACCCAGATGGGCGGCGCGGAGGGGAGACGGCCTTGTTTAACTCGTTGTGCGTGTGTATGTGTGCGTGTCTTCACTCATTGTTAGAGCACCAGTGTGTGAAGCGACGCTTAAGCAGCAGCAGTGTGTGCGCGTGTGTATGTGCGCGTGCGTGCGTGTGTGTGTGCGCATGTGTATTATGTGTGCGTGTGTGCGCCCGTGTGTGCATGTGCGTGTGCGTGCGTGAGCAGGAGACGTCAGCGCTGCTGCGCTCACCGCCCGCACTGAACTCGTCGTGCGTGGTTGTGTATGTGTCTGTGTCTGTGTCTGTGTGTGCACTCGTGTGTGTGCATATGTGCGCAGCGAATGTCAGCGCTGCTGCGCGTGTTGAGCGGGTACGGGCCGCGCACGCAGCAGCACCAACCTGATCTCTTGGGGCGTGAAGGGGTGTGAACCAGCATTGCTGAACTGAACTCCGTTGCGCATGTGTGTGCATCCCTGTATGTGTGAGCAGCAAATGGCAGCGCTGCTGCGTGTGTTCAACGGGTACGGGCCGCGCAGCACCACCAACCTGACCTACTGGGGAGTGGCGGGGTGTGCCAATAACGACAGCTTGATTCGATACAAAGACGCCACCACCGCCATGGGATTGGATTACCTCACCCTAGGGACATTGCTCATGCTCGTGCAGGATAGCGAAAGGTGGGCGTGAGTGTGTGTGTGCGCGAGTGCATGCATGTGTGTATGTGTGGGTGTGCGTGTGGGCGTGGGTGTGCGTGTGGGCGTGCGTGTGGGCGTGCGTGTGGGCGTGGGTGTGCGTGTGGGTGTGCGTGTGGGTGTGCGTGTGGGTGTGGGCGTGGGTGTGCGTGTGGGTGTGCGTGTGGGTGTGCGTGTGGGTGTGCGTGTGGGTGTGCGTGTGGGTGTGGGCGTGGGTGTGCGTGTGGGTGTGCGTGTGGGTGTGCGTGTGGGTGTGCGTGTGGGTGTGGCGTGGGTGTGCGTGTGGGTGTGCGTGTGGTGTGCGTGTGGGTGTGCGTGTGGGTGTGCGTGTGGGTGTGCGTGTGGGTGTGCGTGTGGGTGTGCGTGTGGGTGTGCGTGTGGGTGTGCGTGTGGGTGTGCGTGTGGGTGTGCGTGTGGGTGTGCGTGTGGGTGTGCGTGCACTGCGCTACAATCCTGCCGTCAGCCTGGACCTAGAGAGCCTCACCCTAGGGACGCTCGTCTTGCAAGTGTAGGATGCTGACAGGTGGGCGTGAGTGAGTGTGTGTGTGTGTGTGTGTGTGTGAGTGTGTGTGTGTGTGTGTGAGTGTGTGTGTGTGTGAGTGTGTGTGTGTGTGTGTGTGTTCCCCTATCTCTCTTTCTACCTCCAGTTGCTTTCTCATCCCCCTACTTCTCTGTGCTTGCAGGGCACTGGTGGAGCACATTACAGGCATGGTCATCAAGTCACCTCTGGGGCTGCCCTCGCCTCGCAAGCCGCACTACATCGTCAACTTTCTCCCCGGATACGCCTACGTCGCCGATCTCGAGGCCTTCATCGATTTCTCCGCCATGGTCTCCCCGTCACTCCTCTCCTCCATTCTCGGTGGCAACTCCGTCTCGTTGCCGCCTGTCTTTTTCAACGGCGACCTGGGTGTGGGCACTGGTGAGCTAAGCTGTGTCCGTGGGCCGTGGGGTTTTTTTAGGCGCTTTAGAAAGCAACTCTGTGTCGTTGCCGCCTGTCTTTTTCAACAGCAACCCGCGTGTGGGCACTGGTGAGCTGCGTGTGGGCACTGGTGAGCTGCGTGTGGGCACTGGTGAGCTGGTTCTTTCTGAGACGTTTCAAAAGAGTTCCCAACCCGGTGGACCGATGCCTTCATGTCTATCTGGCGCAACCCAAGAACGCCTGTCCAACCACCATAAACAGGATAGGGGGGGTGAGTTCCGCCACAGGCAGCACCCATGCCCCCCAAGGGCCAAGCCTACAGTTACGACTGAGGATGTACCTATATTGTTATTAATATATCTACGTCCACCAAAAAAAAAAAAAAAGAGTTCCCAAGCTGAGTCGTTATGAGGCGTTTTGAGACGTAGACTATCATGTGCCTGTTTGAGACGTTTTGTGCGAGTGGGTGGGTGAACACTGGAGTGTGGGTGAACATTGGTGAGTAAGTGGTGTCATGTCACATCACATGACCAGTAATCTCGCGCAAATTGTTGCTCTACAGATCAGCGCAAGGTGCATTTATACTTTGACCGTACGCTACCTGACTAAATTGGCCTTATGTTCGATGCGAACTGATCTGCAGTTGATTAGACATATTCCAGCGAGCAACAGTAAACCACATCTGCAATTGGGTGTTTACAGTAAACGAGGATGCCTCGCGAACCGATCTGCAGTTGTGTGTTTTGCTCATCCCTAAATCCGCATCGGTCTTCTGACACAATTCTCAGCGAGCAGCAGACTAGGTCTGGACTAGCAGACTAGGTCTGGACTAGCAGACTCGGTCTGGGCTTAAAGCAAATGATTGACAGTTCGGTGTTTCTCTCATCCATCCATCCGTCCGTCCGTCCGTCCGTCCGTCCGTCCGTCCGTCCGTCCGTCCGTCCATCCATCCATCCATCCATCCATCCATCCATCCATCCATCCATCCATCCATCCATCCATCCATCCATCCATCCATCCATCCATCCATCCATCCATCCATCCATCCATCCATCCATCCATCCATCCATCCATCCATCCATCCATCCATCCATCCATCCATCCATCCATCCATCCATCCATCCATCCATCCATCCATCCATCCATCCATCCATCCATCCATCCATCCATCCATCCATGTGTGCAGTGATTGTGGTGCCTATTTTCCGCTCCGCCATCCCGTCCCCGAGAAGTCATCACGGGAGCATGGCCGTGACCATGACCCATCCAACCGCCCATGTCACCCCATCCATCCGTGCATGCATGCAGTGATTGTGGTGCCTAAATTCTGCCATCCCGTCCCCGAGAACACATCACGGGAGCAGCGGAGGGCGAGTGTGAGCCCTACCGCGTGGGTTTTTAAGAATTCTCAAAAACCAGCCCTACCGCGTGGGTCGACCTCTCCTTATTAGAGCTCGAGCTTCAAGCCGTCCTCAGTGTTCTTTCTACCCAACTATCCCTTCTTCCATCCATGCATGCATGCAGTGATCGTGGTGCCTATATTCCGCCATCTCGTCCCCGAGAACGCAACACTGGAGCAGCGGAGGGCGAGTGTGAGTCCCACCGCATGGGTCGACCTCAGCTATATGGGCAACGAGCTGCAAGACGTCCTTCACCTGCTGCATAACGGTTCGCACTCATAACGCCCCTCATAATGCTCCATACAACTGACCTTTGCTGTCCAGGGCGAGTTTGAGCCCTACCGCGTGGGCCGACCTCAGCTACATGGGCAATGAGGTACAAGATGTCCTTCACCTGCTGCAGAACAGTTCGATCGCTTTTCTTTCCCAACACTGTTGTCATTGATCTCACCTGGGGGAATTCTCTCAAGTGCCGTGCCGTGCCGTGCCGTGCCGCCACTTTCGTTCCATTCATGTGTGTTTCTCACTGCATGCATGCATACAGCAGCGCCAGTTCCTACTCTATCGCGCTGTATGGCACCTTTTGAAAAAGAATTTTAAAATCTGTGCCCCCAGTGCATTCCATGCGAGTGTGTGTGATCCATGCAGACAGCAGCGCGAGCTCCTACTCCATCGCGCTGTATGGCACCACACAGCGCCTGAATCCCCGCAGCACCCCGCAGCACCAGACCCGCAGCAGCAGACCCGCAGCAGCCCATTCAGGTGCTCGGCCTGGAGCCCATTGTTTGAGGTCCCTTAAAGCCTGTGTTCTCCCGTGCCTTGTATGAATGCGTGCGTGTGTGTGTGTGTGTGTGTGTGTGTGTGTGTGTGTGTGTGTGTGTGTGTGTGTGTGTGTGTGTGTGTGTGTGTGCGTGTGTGTGTGAGCGAGCCCATGCAGACAGCAGCGCGAGCTCCTATTCTATCGCCCTGTACGACACCACCGACCCGCAGCAGCCCATTCAGGTGCTTGGCCCTGATCCAGTCAAGCTGGAGAGTGGGTCCCTCTTCCCGTATGTGCTGCCCGGCCCTGTCGTGCCTTACCCCAAGCACATCGAGCGTTTTCCTGAGGACTTGCTCGGCCGCAAATATGAGGCGCACTGCAGGTGAGGCGAGGAGGCAGTGCAGGTGTGGTGAGGAGGCAGTGCAGGTGTGGTGAGGAGGCAGTGCAGGTGTGGTGAGGAGGCAGTGCAGGTGTGGTGAGGAGGCAGTGCGGTTCGTTGGTGTGTCTCCTGATTCTAGACCCAACCTGAATCAGGCTCTCCTGAGTCTAATCTCATGAAGTTCGTATGTCTCCTCCACATAAATTGACCTTTGAGTGGACTAAAAAGTTTGTATGGTCTCGTCCTCATGGATTCCTAAATGCCAATGTGCAGGTTTGAGGGCCCCTACCCCAGGTGGGACCTGGTTGTTGCTCCCATGCTGCTGGGATTGCTGGTGCTTCTGGTGGCTGTGTTAATTTCCACTGTGATTTTGGTTCTGGCATGGAAGCAGCGGCAGATGGAGGAGGGGGTGAGGGAGATGCAGCTTTGCACGGCAGCGTTGGAGAGAGCTGAGAAGTCCAAGAGTGAGACCGTGGCCAATACGTCCCATGAGCTGCGCACGCCGCTCATAGGCGTGATAGGTGAGGGAGAATGCGGGCGTGCATGTGTGAGGGAGGGCGTGCATGTGTGAGGGAGGGCGTGCATGTGTGAGGGAGGGCGTGCATGTGTGAGGGAGGGCGTGCATGTGTGAGGGAGGGCGTGCATGTGTGAGGGAGGGCGTGCATGTGTGAGGGAGGGCGTGCATGTGTGAGGGAGGGCGTGCATGCGTTTGTAAGTTTTGAGTCGGCTCAAATGGAGGTTGGAGGGAGCTGAGATGTCCAAGAGTGAGACCGTGGCTAATTCCTCGCATGAGCTGCGCACGCCACTCATAGGCGTGATAGGTGAGGGAGGAAGAGTGTGTGGGCGTGCATGTATGTGTGTGGGCGTGCATGTATGTGTGTGGGCGTGCATGTATGTGTGTGGGCGTGCATGTATGTGTGTGGGCGTGCCCAACACTCATTGGCATGATAGGTGAGAGCTGCGCACACCATTCATTGGCGTTATGATTGTAATGGTGATGTGGTAATGGTAATGGTGATGTGGTAATGGTAATGGTGATGGTGATGTGGTAATGGTAATGGTGATGTGGTAATGGTAATGGTGATGTGGTAATGGTAATGGTAATGGTGATGTGGTAATGGTAATGGTGATGTGGTAATGGTAATGGTAATGGTAATGGTAATGTGGTAATGGTAATGGTGATGCGGTAATGGTAATGGTGATGCGGTAATGGTAGTAGTGATACGGTAATGGTAATAGTGATGCGGTAATGGTAGTAGTGATACGGAATGGTAATAGTGATGCGGTAATGGTGATATTGATACAATAATGGTAATAATGATGCGGTAATGGTGATAGTGATGCGGTAATGGTGATGCTGATGGGGTAATGACAATGCTGCAGCGTGAAGGGTGGCGAGGGCGTGTGCGGGCGAGACGGTGGAGCTTATCAACCGAGTGCTGGACCTCGCCAAGCTGCATCGCACCCCACTTACCCTCCCTCCTCCTCCGTCCCACACAGGCATGATAGAGGAGCTGCTGGAGTCTCAACTGGAAGAGTGGCAACGTGAGGATCTAAGGATTGCGAGGGCGTGTGCGGGCGAGACGGTGGAGCTGATCAACCGAGTGTTGGACCCCTCTTCCCCCCCATACAGGCATGATTGAGGAGTTATTGGAATCCTCATTGGAGGAGTGGCAACGTGAGGACCTAAGGGTCGCGAGGGCGTGTGCGGGCGAGACGGTGGAGCTCATCAACCGAGTGTTGGACCTCGCCAAGCTGCAGGCAGGACGGCTGCAACTCGAGACTCTCCCCTGCTGCCTGCACAGCATTGTGCACGAGGCAACTTCAGCCACTTCTGCCCCTTCAGCAGTTGATGAACCGATAGCACCGGGAAAGAACCTGCAAGGTATGAATGTGCGCTGGACTGGACCTTGGTTCGCCAAGCTGCAGGCCAGCCGGCTGCAGGTTGAGGACTCTCCCGTGCTGCCTACGCTGTATTTATTGTTTATGAGGCAATTCCGCTTGTTGACTCGAGTGCACCAACAGACGATCCGCAACGTATGAGCGGTTTGATGCATCCCAATTTTCCCCTCAGTTCGTGCAACACTGTGGATGCGGTCTTGACTCGGGTGCATACTGACTGATGTGTGCTGTTGTGGTTGCTGTGCTGCGGATGCTGTGTGCTGCAGTGACATGCCACGTGGAGGAGAGTGTGCCGGATGTCCTCATGGGGGATCCTACTCGCCTGGCGCAAGTCGTTGGAGAGCTCACAGGTGCGTATTGGTGCCTCATTTGAGACGTCTCTTCCTGTTGGTCCACACTCGCATGTGCCTAGTTGTCAATGACTCGTTTCGAGTCAACTTAAAAGTACACTCGCATGTGCCTAGTTGTCAATGACTCGTTTCGAGTCAACTTAAATGTACACTCGCATGTGCCTAGTTGTCAATGACCCGCCTGGCTGCATCCCCCCCCGCCTCGTTTTGAGTCGACTAAAAAACCGAGTCTGCCTGGCTGTCCCCTTGAACTGAACCCGTTCTCCCCTGCAGCCCACGCCGTGAGACTAGTGCTACAGATCGCTACTCTTAGTAGGCTTGCTGCTTTTCGAAAACTATGAAATTCAACTGAACCCATTCTCCCATGCAGCCCACGCCTTGAGCAACGCTGCTGGTGGCCTTCCGCGTCTGCTGCATCCCTCCCCCGCCTCTGTTTGAGTCGACTTAATCATTGTTGTATTTTTCTTTCCCCTTGCACTTACCCCCCTCCTTGCATGCAGCCCACGCCACGCGCAACGCTGCTGCTGCTGGCTGTGTGGCCTTCCAAGACAGCTGCATCCGTCCCCCACTTCTCTTTGAGTCGACTCAGAAATCGCCACGTGATTGAAGAAGGGTTTTGAGACGTCTCAAAACCCTTCCAGGACAGCTGCATCCGTCCCCCACTTCTCTTTGAGTCGACTCAGAAATCGCCACGTGATTGAAGAAGGGTTTTGAGACGTCTCAAAACCCTTCCAGGACAGCTGCATCCGTCCCCCACTTCTTTTTGAGTCGACTCAGAAATCCTGTCCGTCTGTCCTGTTGTCCCCTTGCCTCCACCTCTCCCCTGCAGCCCACGCCGTGAGCAACGCTGCTAGTGGCCGGGTGTCCTTCCACGTCTGCTGCATCCCTCCCCCGCCTCTTTTTGAGTCGACTAATAACTGTGTCTGTCTGGCTGTCCCCTTAAACCGACTCTCCCATGCAGCCCACGCTGTGAGCAACGTTGCTGGTGGTCGCGTGGCCTTCCACGTCTGCTGCATCCCTCCCCCGCCTCTCCCACACGCCTCAACAAGCTGCTTCCACCTCCCCTGCGCATCCGCTACTGCCGCCGTGTCCCCTGCCTCATCTCCTCCTCACGCCTCCTCCCGTGCCCCTCACCATCTCCCTTCGAGCTCTCCCACGTGGCACCAGCTGTCTGCTTGTGTGCGCCGCTTCCCACCTTCCACCCATCTGGCACGCCTGCCTCAGCGCCACATTGCAAGAGGCAACAGGGGGGGGGCAGGGCAGGCAGGGGGCTCTTCTGAGCCGCCTCACAAGTCGCCCCTCACCCACCTCTCGCGTTTTCGCCGGCGCATGGGCGCTTCAGGCACAGGGGGTTCAAAGAAAGCAAGCGGGAAGGAGGGCGAGGAGGGGGAGGAGGCACAGGGTGGGAGTGGGCATGGGCGGTTGGAGGAGGAGGTGAGGGAGTGGGTGGAGGGAGTGTGTGCGGCAAGAGAGGAGGGAGAGTGGATCGTGGTGATGTCGTGTGAAGACTCGGGTGGTGGTATACCACCCGAGGAGCTGCGGTGGGTGCTGGATCCGTACGGGGACTCGCACCACGCTGCAGCTGCAGCACACTCCTCCTCTCATGCTCCTGAGGCTGCTGCTGGTTCCGGTGGCGGTGATGGCTACCAAGAGGATGACCAAGGCATCAAGGTGAGTGGGTAGGAACGGAACGTGGGTACTGGACTGGACCCACATGGGGACTCACATGGGGACTCGGACTCCCGACTCGCACCACGCCGCTGCAGCACACTCCTCCTCCTCATGCCCCTGTTGCGGGTTCAGCCGGCGGTGATGGCAACGACAACGACAATGGCGGTGATGGCAGCGACAACGACTATGGCGGTGATGGCAAGGTAAGTGGATGGATAGCTTCGCTTTCACCTCTCTGCCTGCTGCCACGGCGCGTCGAGCATCCCTATAACAACTGCCTCACCAGAGTGCTTTAGAGGCGCCTCAAAAGTCTTTCACTTCTCTGCCTGCTGCCCTGCCGCGGTACGTCGAGCATCCCTGTAACAACTGACTCACCAGAGTGCTCAATCCCTCCCATCCTTGTCTGCGTTTCCCCTTCACTGTGCTCCTCCACACCCCACCGTCCACCAGGATACGTTCTTCCCCCACCTCTTCAGTCGCCGGGGCAGCAGGGCAGCAGCAACTGCCACTCTCACGCACGACCAGAGGTCCGCTGCCCGCCCCCGCTGGACGCCCTACCCCGTCCGCTTCCTGCTCTCCACCGCGCTAGTGAGTGCCACCGCCCGCCTTGTGCTGCTTGTGTTGTACCTCCCCCAGCTGGCCCCCGCTGGACGCCCTACCCTGTCTGCTTCCTGCTCTCTACTGCTCTTGTGAGCGTCATCCTCCGCATATCATCCTCCGCATACCATCCTCCGCGTATCATCCTCCGCATACCATCCTCTGCGTATCATCCTCCGCGTATCATCCTCCGCGTACCATCCTCCGCGTATCATCCTCCGCGTATCATCCTCCGCGTATCATCCTCCGCGTATCATCCTCCGCGTATCATCCTCCGCGTATCATCCTCCGCGTATCATCCTCCGCGTATCATCCTCCGCGTATCATCCTCCGCGTATCATCCTCCGCGTATCATCCTCCCCCGGGCTTGGCAGTATCGCACCCACAACCCCTCACATTGCACCTGTCGTGTCCACTATCCCATCTCTTCTTACTTGCCAAGCCACTCCTCCTTTCTCCCCGAGAAGGTGGCTGAGGCGAGGGGAGATATGGCAGTGCGGTTACACACCATGCCTCTACTGCTACCACCATTCTAACCTTGTCATTCCCCACTCCTCCTGCGCCCCTCCTTCTCACTTCCCCTTTCTCCCCCCTTGCAGGTGGCTGAGGTGAGGGGAGACATGGCCGTGCTGTCACACGCCGCCACAGGCACCACCATTCTCACCTTGTCTCTCCACTGCTCCCCTTCTTCCCAATACCCCCCCTTTCTCCCCCCTCGCAGGTGACTGAGATGAGGGGAGACATGGCCGTGCTGTCACACGCCGCCACAGGCACCACCATTCTCACCTTGTCTCTCCACTGCTCCCCTTCTTCCCAATACCCCCCCTTTTTCCCCCCTCGCAGGTGGCTGAGATGAGGGGAGACATGGCAGTGCTGTCACACGCCGCCACAGGCACCACCATTCTGCTGGCTCTGCCCATGGGGGGAGGGGAGGACAGCGGCAGCTTCGAGGATTGGGGGGGAGATGAGGAGAGTGGGGGTGAAAGGGATGGGTGTGGGTCAGGGAGTGACGGGGAGTCTGTGGAATTTGCGAGTGCTGCAATGCCAGGCGTGCTGGGATCTGGTCAGGAGCAGGGACCTGGGCAGGAGCAGGAACGTGGGCAGGAGCAGGGACCTGGGCAGGAGCAGGCAAGCCTGCAGCAGTATCCATCTGTGCAGCAGCAGCAGCAGCAGCAGCAGCCCCAGCAAGCATCTGTGCAGCAGCAGGAACCTGGGCAGCAGCAGGCACCTGGGCAGCAGCAGGCACCTGGGCAGCAGCGGGCAGCACGGGCGCGCTCTCACCCCAAGCCACCAACTGGCATGTTCGAATCCGTAAAGCGTACAGGAGAGGCGGACAGGGTATCGCCAGCAGTGGCGGCAGCGCCACCAGAGGAGGGGGTGTTTCCACCACGGTCGCATTCGCTCCCGAAACCCCGCTCCCACAGGGACGGCATGGGAGACGCTGAGGGGGGGCAGGTTCGTGCAGGGGCGGCGTGTGAAACTGTATCAGGCCGGCAGATAACGCGAGCACAATCTCTCCAACAGCTGCACAAGCTGCACACGGAGCGTGCAGCAGGGGAGGCGGAGGGGTTGGTGAGAGCAGCAGTGGCGGGGCGGGGCGTGGCGGTGGTGGATGACAACGCGGTGAACCGCATGGTGGCAAGGAGAACGCTGCAGGGCTACGGGGCGAATGTGCTGCTGCTCCCCTCCGGGGAGGAGGCGCTGCAGGCGCTCTCTGATGCTGCGTCCTCCCCGCCCATCCAGCTGTTGCTGCTCGACCTCCACATGCCGCCCGGCATCGACGGGTGAGTGCCTTGCATCTCATCACCTGCCTCTCACCCCACCCACACGCTCCCCACTCGTCAACCACTCATCATCAATGCCATGCTCTCCTCGCCCGTTCACCTGCTGCTGCTTGACCTCCACATGCCAACCGGCATCGACGGGTGAGCTTGGATTCTATTGCTGGTCTCTTTCGCCGCTGCTGCTGAAGTGCGATTGTTGAGACTGTTACCTGCCTCCCATATGTCATATTGAATTGGACTCTCCTTACTTTGAATGTGGTTAAAGGAGGTTCTTCATTGGACTTTGCAACTGAAATGAATTGCAATGTTCCTTCTTTCCTTGGGTGCCCTCAGTGGTCTTTCCTTTGGAACTGCAATCCTGTAATTCCTCAGCTGCCTTGTTCACGTCCCTTTCTTGCCACCGGTTGCCTCCCATTTCCCCACAGATTTGAGACGGCTCGTCAGATCCGAGCAATGGAGAGGGCACAGTGTAGCAAGAGCAGCAGCAAGGCAGCCCAGATGCCAGAGGGAGACAATGCTGCCACTGATGCAGCAGCAGCAGCAACAGCAGCAGCAGAAACAGCAGCAGTGGCAGCAGCATGTGCAACTGATGCAACCACTCACGAGCGCCTTTGTATCATAGCATTGACAGCTGACTTGGATGTAGGCGTGAAGCGAGCGTGCTTGGAGGCCGGGATGGATGGGGCAGTGAGGAAGCCGATTGTGGCTCAGGAGCTGCTCTCAGCGCTCATAACAGCCGGGTTTGGAGCCAGTGCACTCTGATTCTGATTCGACTCGACAGCTACCACCACACGAGCGCTTTGATAAAACTGCACTGGCTGCTACTTGGGGGTGTGGCAGTGGAGAGAGAGCGTTCAGGGATGGAAGGGGCAGTGAGGAAACCCACTTTGGTAGAGGAACTGCTTGCAGCACTCATAACAGCCGGGTTCGGAGCCGGCGTGTGCTGATTCTGGTTTGACTCAACGGTCACCACCGCATGAGTGCCTTTCTAGCGTGGCACTGGCTGCTGGCTTGGATGTGGGAGTGCAGCAAGCATGCTTAGAGGCAGGGATGGACGGGGCGATGAGTGGTGATGAGTGGGTGCTGTTGGGAGAGCAGTGGAGTGGGCCTTTGCTGGGGGTGTTTGTCTGGTATGACAATCAGGTGGTGCTGTTTGTGTCACTTAGTGAGTGCTCGAAAGTGACACAACCAGGACCCTTGCCGGGAGTGTTTTCGTTCTGGTATGACAGCAACGACCTGGTTACCACATGAGGAGGAAACTTGCTTCCTATGAGTGTGATAAGGGAAAGGAATGTGTGGGTTGCTGGCTTGCCTTGTTTGCTGGGGACTGGTTGCTGGCTTGCAGTGTTTGCTGGGGACTGGTCGCTTCCTTGCTGTGTGCTCTGGGGATTGGGTTGCTGGTGTGCTGTGTGCTCTGGGGATTGGGTTGCTGGCGTGCTGTGTGCTCTGGGGATTGGGTTGCTGGCGTGCTGTGTGCTCTGGGGATTGAGTTGCTGGTTTGCCATGAGTGGCTGGTTCAGAAGGATCACAGGTTTGCTTTGGGTGTGATGAGTGGAAGGAAGATGGGCTTTGCTTGGTTTCTTGTTGCTTGCTGGTCTATTGGGTGTTTTGCTAGTCGGATTCTCCCCTCACATTCGATTGGCATGCAGGCATGTGTTGGCTGGCCTTGGTGCAAGGCCATAAAATGCTGTCATTTACAGATGCAGGATGGAATGGCTTCCTGCTTGGCGTTTGGTGACATTGAAAAGCAGCGCAAAGCACTGCTGGCCCTACTGCTATTTCATGTAGCATTAGTTTCACTAGGTGTACTGTCCATTCTGTGCAGCTTTCGGTGCCTTCATGTTGTTGGGCTGAGAAGCCCTAGGATCTTTGTAGAGCTTAAAGTCTGAGTAGGATTGTAATAGCGGAAGCGTTGAAGTAAGGAGTGATTGAACCACCTTGCGCTGGTATGTGAGGGCAAAGTAAGTTGAATTAAACAAGCAGATACAAGGTTTATATAAGAGTACAAGGAATACGAATAGATAGATTTAAACCGTTTTACTGTTGCGATTCGATACAGTGCGACTCGGGCAACTGCTCAATGTCGAGTCAGTTGTGTGTCCTTGCTGTCGCGCTGTAATTGTCGAGTCAAAGGTCGCTGACCTTTGACTTTCCCGTAACCTCCAGGCGGTTACCCCAACCTCCGAGGGTTGACTCGTGATGTCTCGATTCGGACTGCTTCGCTAGTGTCCTGAGTTTCGACACGACAGAGGTGTGAAAGAAAGAACGAGAATGAATTGACTATGAACGAAGTGAGTACAAATAGGAAACCCTAATTGGGTTGTACCCCCTATGGGATACCACACTATAGCCTACACAAATAAGTAAGCTATAATGTTCTGACACACCCCCATAGGCAAAGTGGGGGAGAACAAGGGGTCACAAGACTAGTCAAGCAAAGCAAAGCAAAGCTCAGGGTGGATCACAAAGTCACCACACATTCCGAGCACAAGTTCAAAGGCCACAAGGCCAGTTCACATGCAAGATCATATATAGAGATATACAAGAGTCAAGCAAGCAAGAACAAGAGTATATATAGGTGAAGGTACAAGCAAGGTCAAGAAGTGAGCAAGTGAGGCAAGACAGGCACAAGACCCAGCTGCGTGCAGCAACGCTGATGATCACAAGGCGCAAGTGCCTTGGTGAAGACATCAGCAGTGTTGGCCTCAGAGGCCACGTACGCAAGTCGCAACTGTCGACGCTGCTGTAGCTCACGAGCAAGAAAGTAGCGGAGAGCAATGTGCTTTGTCCTGTGCTCCAGTCGCTGCTCTCGACACAAGGCCAGCATGGCCTTGTTGTCTACGTACAGGACTGGAGGAGAACGAGGCGGCTCTCCAAGGTCGGTCAGCAGGTAGGTGAGCCAGCGTAACTCCTGTGCAGCCATAGCCTCGGCGTAGATCTCAGCCTCACAACTGGAGCCGAGAACAGAAGACGAGCGGGTAGCCCGCCACGAAACAGAGCCGGAACCAAGGCCGAAGGAGTAACCCTGTGACGACCGCTGCGTAGCCTGGTCGTCAGCCCAAGAAGCGTCCGCGTGCCCAGTGAGGACCACTGGACTGCGCCCTCCAAGCACTAGCCCCATGCCCGATGTACTGCACAAGTAGCGCAACACCCTCTTCGCTGCAGCCATGTGCTCTGGTCGGTGTCTCCCAGGAGCAACATAGCGTGCGAGAATGCTGAGAGGGTACGCAAGGTCAGGTCGTGTGCAGGTCATCAGGTACATGAGGCAGCCAACAAGCTCTGCATACGGGCCACTCGACTCTACGGACTCATCCGAAGGCAGAGCTGAGAGCGAGTGGCGAGTAGGCAGAGGAGTGGCCTGAGGCGAGGAGTACGTGAAGCCGAAGCGCTGAAGGACCTGCTGCACCATGTGTGACTGACTCAGGGTAATGGTGCGGCGTGCTCTGTCCCGGGTGATCTGCAAGCCAAGGTAGCTGCGCAGTTCACCCAGGTCAGTGCACGTGTGTCTCTTCTGCAGCTCGGACTTCACGTAGGCGAGTCCAGCAGTGTCCGCTGTGGCAAAGACCAAGTCGTCGATGTACACGAGGATGTAGAACGGCGGCAGAGAGGTGTCGGTGCGCAGAAACAGCGACGGGTCGGCAGTAGAAGGAGCAAACCCAAGTGCCGCCAGCGTAGTCCTCAGTGTGTCGTGCCACTCACGTGGCGCCTGGCGGAGACCGTAGACTGGACGCCGGAGACTCCACTGGGTACCAGGAGGGAAAGACCCAGTGAAGCCAGGTGGGCGACGCAGCCAGATCTCCTCGTGCAGGCTGCCCTGCAAGAAAGCTGTGCTGAAGTCGAGAGAGTGCAGCTCGTAGTCGCGGTGAGCAGCAACATGCACCAGTACCCAAAGAGTGGTCATCTTCGGGGTGGGGGAGAAGGTCTGAAAGTAGTCAACTCCCTGCCGCTGACTGAAGCCACGAGCCACGTAACGCGCCTTGAAGACAGGCGGAGAGCCCGGCGGCCGCTTCACCCTGAAGATCCACATGCCACTGACGATGTTCGCCCCAGGAGGGGGAACAGCGTCAACGTAGGTGCCTGTGGACTTCCAGGAAGCCATCTCTGCATCCATAGCTGCCTGCCACTGAGAGGAGTAGGGACCCTCTATCGCCTCCGCGTAAGAGCGCGGAGTCGGGATGTCTAGTGCATCCGGGTCTCCCTCAGGGGCGAGCAGTACAGACGCGAGATGAGGTGAAGCAGCGGCCAGACACTGGAACTCCTCCTGCCTGTCCTCAAGGACGTCCGTGCCTAGGGCACACTCACCCCCGACGGACGGAGGACAGGCAGACTCAGACTCAGCGACAAGACTAGCAGCGTAGTCTAGACGACAGCGCGCAGCAAAGTCGACAAGCTCAGTGACAAGGGCAGACGCAGCAGAAGACTCGAAGGAAGGGTCAGTGACAGCAGTAGCAAGGAGACGTGTGACAGTGGGACAAGCAGCACGAAGAGAGTCCGACTCCGGGTCGGCAAGAGCAGGAAGAGAGGAAGCAGGAGGAGAAGGCAAAGAAGCACGCAGAGGAGCAGTAGACGGACGCAGAGACATCCGGTGCGTGCCAGGGACAGGAGGAGGACGCTGACGCGAACCGCGACCACTAGTGCGTGCAGTGCGAACAGGCGACGCAGGACGAGACGCAGGCTCACGACGCTCAGTAAGACCTCCAGTCGGACCAGCGTAGGGAGAAGGAGCAGGCAAAGGGGAGGCAGGCTGTAGCTGTGACCGTGACGGGACTAGCTGTGGACCCTCTAAGGGAGGAGGAGGAGGACCAGGAGAAGGTGTCAGACAAAGTACCTGCTGCAGGAGCGGAACGAAGTACGGTCGGGGCCGCGTGGCGACGCCAGAAACAGCAAGGACAGCACCAGTACCCCCAGCAGGAGTACCCGCTCCAGTAGCACCTCCAGCAGCACCTCCAGCACCCCCAGCAGCACCAGGAGCAGTGCCAGTCGGACCGCCAGCAGTAGTCTCAGCGCCAACACCCTCAGCAGTACCAGCTGCAGGAGAACCCTCAGGTCCAGCAGCTCCAGCACCCACAGCACGAGCACCTCCGGGACGCGCGGCAGCAGCACCCTCTGCAGCCGAAGAACCTCCAGCACCAGCAGCACGCCTCCAGCGCCGGGCAAACCACTCACGCAGCTCCTGTGGGGAGAGTGGCTCTCGGCAAGACGAAGCACCTCCAGGCGGAGAACCTCCAGGCTCAGCACCCTCAGGCAAAACACCTCCAGGCGGAGCACCCCCAGTCTCAGCACCCCCAAGCTCAGCACCCCCAGGCTCAGTACCCCCAGGCTCAGCACCCCCAGGCTCATCACCCCCAGGCTCAGCACCTCCAGGCTCAGCACCCCCAGACTCCGCACCCCCAGGCTCAGCACCCCCAGGCTCAGCTCCCGCAGCAGCACCAGAGTCACCAGTGACCTCGACAGGCTCGACCACGTCTACCTGGGACACACCTGAAGGGGCAGGACCCTGAGGGGGGAGGGGGTCTACCGGGGGGGAACCTGGTACCAAGAAGAGCAGGGGCGGGGGAAGGGAAGGAGTGCGGTAGGGGAAGAGGCGGTAGTAGGGTACCGACTCATCAAACGTGACGTCCTGGGAGGACAGAACACGGCGAGAGGTGGGGTGGTAGAACTGCCACCCAGGGGCGTCGGGGGGGAACCCCAGGAAGACGCAGGGAGCAGCGCGAGGGGACAGCTTGTCCGCAGACAAGTCGCGGACAAACGCCCGAGATCCCCAGACCCGGAACGCCGACGCATCGCCAACCTTCCCCGTCCACAGCAGGGCTGGGGAGGTCTCCGGCCGGGAGACCCTGGGGTGGAGGTTGATCTGATGCGCCGCGTACCTGACCGCAAACGGCCACAGAAAATGGGGGGCAGCCGCATGCATCATAGACGTACGAGCGACGTCCATGACCATGCCAATGCGGCGCTCTGCAATCCCATTTTGCTGCGGTGAGTCCGGAAGCGTGAAGGTCTGGCGGATGCCTCGCGCACGACAGAAGGCACGCAGAAGGCCAGAGAAGAACTCTCCGCCTCTGTCCGAGTGCAGACGCAACACAGGAAAGTCCGAGCCAAAGCTCTGCCTGAGCTGGAGACGAGCTGCGCGGATCCAGTCGATCAGCACCTCAGTGACATCACCCTTGCTGTGCAAGGGGAAGACTGTGGTGTAACGCGAGTAGTCGTCAACCACCAACAGGAAGTAGTGCTCGTGACCGAGTCCACGG